CATTTCCATTCTGAACTCTTCAACAGTACATGAACAAAAATTTACGAAGCACCTGAGGCGACATGTCAGCTCCCGAAGCAATGGAAGCATCGACTTCCCTCAATCCAATCACCGACTCTCCGTGCATGAGCACATTTGCTCAGGTGTTTCTCCACAGCCTGCAACTTCGGCAATTCAATTGGATCCGGCTGATGCCCTGGATAACAAATGTGGTTCCGGGCATTCTCGACCTTTCCAAAACTGAAACAAGTAACAGGGTTAGATTGATTATTGTGTATAAAACCTGCAAACAGACATACACTGGATTCACCCCTTACTAAAATCGTACTTAAATGAATTCAAATTTCAATGTAAAACAAATTCCAAGACCTATTATTTCAACCTAAAAAGTAATCCACCGCCCCATAAAATCAATATGGTCCTCCAGCCTATTAATAGCCTTATAAACTATAGGAGAAACATACAGTAAACAGAGTAAAAGATCAAGTAAATCCTTGTCACATTGGGGAACAGACCGAATAGGTAACAGTAATATTAGCTACGACAAAACAAAAAAGTCAAAATCACAAAGAATTGAAATCTAATCCAATCAGATCTACGAACATTACTCATTCTCATCAATGTAGATCAGTATCACATACAAACTCAAATCAAACTAATTAACAAGACTAAATATTTGAATTGATACATAAACATAATCAAGATTTGATCTTTCATTTATAGACTCACCTAAGAAGCAAAGATCCTAATCGATGGTGCGCACGAACATAGCCCGGATCCAACCTAATCGCCTCCTCGCATTCCCTCAGCGCGTCTGGCAAATGCTTCAAGCCCATCAAAGCTGCAGCACGGTTGAAATGGTAGGTGGCATTGCCCGGAGAAGTTGCGATGGCTTTATCATAGAAGCCTAAGGCCTCGAGGAAATATCCTTTCTTGTAGTTTTCGTTTCCTACTCTCTTCAACTCCTCTGGATCATTACAAATGTGCATTCCCTTTTTCTTCACTGACTCGCTATTTGTCCCCTCGAGTAATTTGGTGGCGTTGGCGGCCCACCGTCGGGTTTAGATGCAAGACCGCCTCGCATTATGCTGCCGTGGCCATAACTCGCGGTGCCTAAACCCAAAACATCGATTTTAGTGGACCGGCTCCCCATGCCAAAATCCTGCCGGACGGACAAATATTCCTGGTTGGAAGAACATTGACCGACGGAGAATTGACTGAGCCTCCACCACCGGAGTGAATTAGTGGGAGTGTACCTCCAGAATAGGACTGGGTATGACCAGGTTTGAAGTGACGGACCGTCGACAGGGAACTCTCCACGGAACAGCCCAAAAGCTCGCCGGAATGGTTTTTTTTGGGAATCGGTCTCTTCGAGAGAGTCGGACTGGGCCCGCCGGAAGTTTTTCTCGAAACCGATCCGGAGGAGCTGGAACTGCTGCTCGTGGCGGTCGCAGTGAGCCCAGCCTGACGAGTCCTCAGCGTCGAAACAGGCGAGCCCAGATCAAGTTCTCGAAAATCCGGCTTGTTAACATTAACACAGGAATCTTCATCACCAAAGCTCAGTCTCAACCGATCTGTCGGTCCTCTAACCCTAGCTCCGACGTAGGTTTCCCAGAATGCGACATTTTCACACTTCCCACCCAACTTCGTCACTCTCTATATATCACACAAAAAAACAAATATTTCTCTCTTGGGTTTCGTTCCTTTTGTATACTTTTCACAGTGTAACACACCAATGCAAAGTGTAAGAAGAAAAACAGTCGAGAGAAGA